GGGGGGGGGTTTGTTTACCCATGTTAGAAAAAAATTATCATCTTCATTCAACTTAAAATTTTAAAATGGTGGTCATTTTAATTTTTTAAACTCTAATTACACAAAATCAGCGGATTTTATGAAAAATTTCAAGAACACTTTTATTTAGAATTTTTAACTCCCTATCAAGCGTTACCGATTTAATAAAGATCGAATAAGAAATTCTATAAATATTACAGCTTTTGTTGAAAAATGGGACAACCCGGACCATCTTAGCCTTATTCTACCCCATTATACAAATAAAAATCGTAATATTTAAGCTATTTTTAAGTCGATATTTTTGAAATAGGTACCGTTTGATAATTAAAACCATTTTAAATTATTTTGTTGAATCAAGATGATTTTTTTCTAACACGTATCTTTTCTACCTAAACATATAAACCATGTTACATAAAGATCGTTTGAAAAACTGCAATGATAAAAATGTTTATGTACAAAATACAAAATGACGGATATCTGGATAACGAGGCGATTTTGGAAAAAAAAAATTCTTCTTGATTTTCACTTTATTTTGACCCAAGGATTCACTACGTAAATCATGTCCCACCTTTTTGAACACTCTGTATTTACACGCTGAAACAAAATAGAAACAAGAGAAACTATTAAAACATGTATACTGATTCATATATTTCCCGAAAATAAAAACCGATGGTGTATTGTATGTAATGAAATAATTCCAAACAGCATTGGAAATAAGGGTAGCGATAAAAGCACTCCATCAATAATGGTATCGATCTGGCGGTGTAACCGAGGTAATCCTACGGTACAACATTGCTTTCAGCCACAGTTAAAAACCAGCGCACATTTGTACCAAAGGTTGTTTGAACCATCATTGTAGGATCATACTTGCAATTAGGGGCGAGGAATTGATTAAATGTCTCAGCGAAATTATTATGTTTTCTGTAAATTTATGAAACTTTGGCCAAGTGTAAGGAAAAATTGCTTTCAAATAAAACAGTAGTGTTAAGTAATACATTTTCCTGTGTATGTTAAACCGAATTGTAAATAATAATTAGTAAATCAAGTTAATAAACTATAGATTTTCATACGTGGCCCCGTGTCACATACAGTTGATAGCTCTTGTCTTGCGACAATGAATAAAGTGATAGCAGAGGCTTAGGTAAGTGCAAAGAGTACATATTTACAACGAATTTATATCATGGGATTGAGTAAATGAAACTATAATAAAATGGGTTATTTTCATTTAATTTACTACCAATACTTTTTTAATTGCAAATTCAGATATTTTTACAGTTAGCCTAGTTATGATTATATCAATTATAAAATAAAACTATTCTAAACTAACCTAACCAACCAAACTTTCTAATTACGAAAAAAATACTGGTAGTGAATAAACGTAAATGCAATAAAAGGTAGAAGTGAATTAACGGAAAAGTACCATAAAATGTATTTCTTAATATTTGTTTACAATGGGATTACTACATTAGTACAATAGAAATATGTATTCACAACTGATGCCTTTTAGAGGGGGCTTAATGGCAATTGATTGGGTGTACAAAGTGGTGTGAAGTAAGTGTAATGCATTGTAATTACAAGTAGTGCCTGTAGAAAAATGTTTAACAAAGTGCAATTACCTACACAACGATGTAATATGCGCAAGAGCAAAAATTTGTATTTACATATTCTTTGGGGTTATCCTAGTAGAATTGAAACTTAGGGGTTGGATAGTGTTTAGATTAGTAACGTTGCAAATTAATTTATACTGGTTCCTCAAGATGGGGTGCAAAGAACTATATAATTACAACTAATGGATGGAGGATAGGGCTTAAGTAAGTTCATTTAATTGCAATATGTGTTTACAACCGGTGCCCAGAGAGGGCTTAACTAAATCCAATCGCATTTTGTATTACAACTAGTTACAAAAGAGGGATGGCTAAATGCAGTTGCATTGTCTATTTACAACTGGTTACAGGATATAGGTAAATAGCTGAAAATTGCATATTTGCTTACAATTGCGTTCTATAGTGCAATGGCAATATCTATTTCAAACTGGTACCAACAGGAAGAGGGCTTAACGAAGAGCAATTAGTAGTAATATATGTTTACAATTGGTCAATAGGGAGGGATTCAATGCATAAAAGGTTATATCCACGTAATACTAGAATACCTACACGAAAAACGTTGCCAGTTTTGTAGATTTATATCATACTGAGATTTTAACTACATAATATAACCCCATTTTAAAATTACCACACCATGAGCCTTTATGACTGCTATATTATATGAATTTGTTTACCCCAGCCACTACCCTTACAATGATCGTCTGCTGCAAGTCTGCACACTGTTGCTCACAGTATCACTTCTCGAGCACGTCGCTTTCCTCCCCCAACTAAATCCAATTTCCTCCCTCGCTCCAATCTGCTCCTCACCGGTGTAATCGTTTCTTTCATTTTTTCTTTGACAATTGATACGGCCTTGATGTAGTTACAGCTACATCAATCCTTTAACTTTTATTGGTAGGCTAAGCTGTAAAAATGTCTTGTAATATGCAATTTTTATATATTTATGACTGGGTTATTGGATTTTTTACTGGATTCATGGAAAATGTAGTTATGTAAATGTATTTTTAACTGAGTTTACTAAGTTATTTTGTTCAGTCATTTATTTTAAGCAGCTGAAATTATTGTTCTGTTTAGCTGTATGTTTTAGTTAGTTCAGTTTTGCTTTAGAGGATCTTTGGTTGGGATTAGTGGTTTGAATTGCGCATTTGCTAAGGGCTTAAACATAATTTCGAACCAAATAAAATATTTGCAGGCACCTAATTTAGCTTTTTTGTTAAATTTATTGAAGACAATACATCATTTGAGTTATTAAATTCTCTGATACGATTATACATTTTAATAACCTACAATGTTCTTTTTATGTTTAAGGTTAAAAAAGGCTAGACGAACTCAATTATTTTTAAATCATATAAAACACATCTAGTGTCGACCACTGATACAATACTGATACAATTTTAACGATATACCACGGTAGTAAATCGATATGTATAGTTTCAACTACAAAATATATATTCGCAAGATATAATGCAGGCTACGCAGGCGGTCAGGGAGAGAGGCTTTGCTGCCCCAGAAGTCAAAGCTGGCTTGTTTCACGTACTTAACCGTACCACTAGAGATGTGTTTTTGTACTCGAGCCAAAGTCGGCCTCAATAAATACAAACGTCCAAACGTTCTTGCTGCTGAACTAGTCTTGAAACTCAAGTATTCCTCTTGGACTGATTTAGTTTTATAAGAAATTATTGGTTAAATAAGAAAGGCATAATATGAGAAATTGGGGAGAATCTGTGGCTCAAAATGTTTATATGTAGAATGAATTATGTTACCAATTAATTAGCGTAATGAATTTAAACCCACTACGTAATGAAGGTCCATTATTTATTTAGTAACATTTCACACGATCGAGTACCACATTAAAATTTTACTGCAAAGTTAAATGGTGAATGTAAGGATGTGTTAGGTATATGGTTCTTCAATTTGCATCACACCAAAAATATAAGAAATTAAACCAGTGCAACTTGAATACATTTGAAGGGGTGATTACAAATATTTAAACTATTGAGAGAGGGTTTGGTATTATAGGAGAAATAAGGTGTATTTCAAAGCAAACCAAATTTTATAGTACGTTTTATAAGGTCAAGTCCTAAGGTTATGTTTATTTTATTTTTTAGCTATTATATCAGTGGAATATTCTAAAGAGGACATTATACGCTTTCAAGTGAAAGCTGTCCAAACCTCCGTACCCCTCAAATTTCTTAGATATGCCGGATCAACTCCTCTCACACCATAGTACGAGACGCTAACGTAAAAAATTCACGACCATATCTTTCAGGCGAACGCTGAAATAACTTTTCTATTTGCTCAACTCGTGTATTTGTAGCTATAATTCTCTATAGGGTGACTTTGACTCAATCGCATCCGCACGCATTGTACGTACTCGTATGCATTAAAGCGCAAATGCGTCACATTATTTCCACTTGTTGGTCAAACGTTTACCCTCGCCTGTCTAGTGTGTACTGACCACTACACGATGACTGGTCGGATACTCCAGTGTGCCTGTCAAGTGTCTGTATACAGTCTAGGCTAGGTGATGTATGCACGGAGAATACTATGGGGGAATAGGAGCAGTTATTTGAATGTTGAAATAGTTACCTGAGAATGTATCGTCTTGGATGTTTACATCAGTGTGAAAAATGGTGAAACAGGAAACAATCTTTGTAATTACAAACAGTCAACAAGCACAAAAAGAAGGTTGAGGGAAGAAGAATTCTATTAAAAATTAAAACATTTTTCTATTTCACAGTATTCACAGTAATACTTGAAAATTTCCAGAAAATAATTTGAAACAAAACACCTTTTTCATGAAAGTATTAGGTTTGTGGGCTTTGAGTGGAGGGGACTATTTTTAAATATTGGTGACTCCGAGTTAAAATCTCTGGAATGATTTATTAGTTGAGTTTACGTACCAAACGGTGTGAAGAAAATAGATCAGATAAGGGTCAGTTCCTCTTCAGTAAGAATAAGGAATTTTACTTCTATATAAAAAAAATAACAACGAGAACCTACTTAGAGAAATAGTTTATAGAAAAATGTTGATGGCTTTGAATAAAAACTACGATTGCAAAGAGTCTTATAGATAAATAATCAGCCATTTATATGATTGCGAGAGAGGTAATTCGTAAGAAGGTCTTTTCCTATTCCTTGAACTGACTATCATTGATGACTAATTATAATTTTTGAATTTAAGGACATTGTTGGGGCATTGAATGCCCCTAAATCGACCCTAATCTTAGAGTACTATGGTGATGGTGGTGGGGGTATTTGTGCGGGAGCGACGGTGAAGAATGTTGGCCTGAGAAGAATTTTTGAAGGACGAAGATCACCTCTTCAAGGATAGACGTTTGTGATGATACATTAAGAAAATATATAGTTTATTCCTACCTGGTTCTTGCCCTTGAGCACCAGGACGTTGGTGACTCGGCCGAAGGGGATGCCAAGGTGGATGATCTCCGCCTCAGTGACCTCATTGGGGATATTGCGGATGTGTATCACCTTTGATGGCTTGTTCTCTCTCGTCGCGCCGTTCGATTTGTCCAGCTTGGCCTGCAAACAATACAAAACACATAGGTTACTGTTAGGCCCCTGAATATGTGGTTTGACCTAGAAATAATTAGAACACAGATGAAACCATTGTTGTTCGTTAGTGAAAAGTATTGAAAATAATATATCAAAAGTCTCCAAAAATATCTTTGGTGGAACACCACCATTTTTCCAAAATGGCGGCCAAATCAAGTAGTTTTTTGCTTTTTATTGAAATTCTGACTTTCCAGTCAATATTGGTGAAAAGTCGTCAATACATTTAATGTTCCTCCTGAAATTACCTTTAAAATGATACCAAATACATGTCCCTACAACAAAAAATAAACCCCGTACAAATAATAAAATATTTCAAATAAAAATATATGTTATAAATTAATGTAATAGTCCACCAAACTAAAAAAAACCAGACACAGGGATCGTATAAAAATTTGCAAGTAAACATTTTATGGTTTTATTTTTATTGTTGTGGTGTGCAGAGTGACATACCAAAAGTTGCAAAAATCAGTCCACGGGAAACCCCTAAATTAAGGAAAAAATGGCGGCTTTTTCCAATATTGGACAAATTTTGCAACAAAAGATACCACATGTTTTTTTGCACATTTTTCGAGATATTGACTTGGAACCACGACCGATATTTATTGGATGGTCCGTACTTAATTTCAATAGGGAACGCTTTTTGGGCCGCCATCATGGATCAGCCATATTGGATATAAATATTTTTTAATGTAATAATAGTGTTGTGACACATCATTATGAACTAGATTTCCACGCTGATTTCAATGCTGAAATCCGTTTTTAAATAAGTTTATTCGTTGCTTAAGATATATTAAAACGAAAACTCTCCCCTATACATCAGTTATGGACGTATTGTAAGTTACTTTGAAAATGTGTTTGGATTATTTTTCTCCAGGTATTATTATTGCTTGCAGTTCGTTCTAGCCTTAAAATATTCAGTGATAAAAGATCTTTCATTTTTGTTAGCTTTCATTTTGTTTTATTTATAGTTAAAACAGACTAGTTATAGACGAGGTACAAACCCCAACACAAAATTAAATTAAACTTTTTTATCAGTTTTTGTTAAAAGATTTATATCTCGGGTTGTTAATATGTTAACAAGTTCATTCTGGTATCAAAGTACTCAGTAAATGTTTGGCTTTAATTTTATTGATTATTAAATGACACATGACAAATTTAAAACGAATCATGTAGGCCACCTTCAATGAACTATTGAGTGAATTATTGTTATTTTGAAATTTGTCTTTAGTTAAAGACATTTATCCCCAATTCTAAATAACTCCCAACAAGGAATCCATAGCTAAAATAAAAGTCAATACTTGAACGAATAGCTATGACGAGTTTTTCCCGTTTTCACTCTGCACAACATTACAAAATAAAACCATAAAACGTTTTGTTGAAATTTTTTAAAGGCCATATCCTATATTTATCTAAATATAATTTCCAAGTTACACAGTTACAGTTATTTATAAGTAAAGTTATTTGTTAGTCATATGTACCATCAGTAAAAACACCACTCCCAATCTGTTGGATCTGCTGGTGAACTATTTCCACGCCATACATGAACCTGATAGTACAACCTTAGACTGTGGTAGTTTTCAATGTGTTTTTAAATTGTCAAAGTACGAAACGTCCATAAGAAATGTATGGGGGAGAGTTTTCGTTTTTATATATCTTGATGTGTCACAACACTATAATTACATTAAAAAATATTTATATCCAATATGGCAGATCCAATATGGCTGATCCAAGATGGCGGCCCAAAAAGCGTCCCCTATTGAAATTAAGTACGGACTATCCAATAAATATCGGTCGTGGTTCCAAGTCAATATCTCGAAAAATGTTCAAAAAAACATGTGGTATGTTTTGTTGCAAAATTTGTCCAATATTGTGAAAAGCCGCCATTTTTTCCTTAATTTAGGGGTTTCCCGTGGACTGATTTTTGCAACTTTTGGTATGTCACTCTGCACACCACAACAATAAAAATAAAACCATAAAATGTCTGATTTTTTAAGATTGGTGGACTATTACATTAATTTATAACATATATTTTTATTTGAAATATTTTATTATTTGTACGGTGTTTATTTTTTGTTGTAGGGACATGTATTTGGTATCATTTTAAAGGTAATTTCAGGAGGAACATTAAATGTATTGACGACTTTTCACCAATATTGACTGGAAAGTCAGAATTTCAATAAAAAGCAAAAAACTACTGGATTTGGCCGCCATTTTGGAAAAATGGTGGTGTTCCACCAAAGATATTTTTGGAGACTTTTGATATGTTATTCACAATACTTTTCACTATCGAACAACAATGGTTTCATCTGTGTTCTAATTATTTCTAGGTTTTGCTATTTATTTTCTTATTTTAAGGCGCCTATGTATGTCATCAGAGAGTGGGTAGGTAGTATCTTCGCCTGCAAACAACACAAAACACATAAGTTACTGTATGTCATCAGAGAGTGAGTAGGTTCGCCTGCAAACAAAACAATACACTTAAGTGACTTTGTCAAGTAATCTGAGAGCGAGTCTGTAGTTTGTGGGTTGATGTTAGGTAAGACTTGTAAAAGGAGAGTAACGTATATGAGCTTAGGAATTTGAAGAACAGGAAAGGCAGCGCTAGTAGACCGATTGCACAAGGGAAATAATTCAACTTGAATAAACATGTTTATGTGCGATTTTAAAGTTCTTGAAAGTAAGTGTAAAACTTACAAAAAACAAATAACACAAGGGATACGATTCTTTTAATAGCATAAAATAAGATTGTTGTTTACATGTAAAGGTTTAAAGTATAGCAGTACATAAAGTAAAAAGTTTTTTTAAGTAGTAGAATGAAAAAGGTTGACACAACAAAATGTGGGTGTGTTTTATCAATCCGACACAGGCTTTGCAAATTTGTAGCGACAACAATGGGTAGGAAAGTGTATTCACGCACCAAACACTAAGGATTTAATTTTACGTACAATATTAGGTGCCATAAAAACACTATTAAACATTATATTTTCACGTTCCACCAGATATACCAACCTTTCAAGCATACTAGCTCTCAATTGTGTGTTTTTATATAGTAATTTAACTATACATAATACTTGTATGATGAAATATTGTATTATAAGGCCGTGGGATTGACCACAAGGCCATCAATGGCCACAGGATGCGGTGAGCGGTGTACCGCACCCTTAGTAACATACTGACCCATCTCCCCCCCCCCCCAACTTGTGTATGACGTCACAGCATGGGGTGGGAAATCAAGGGAGATCTGTAGAGCTCCACCGCTATATTGCAAGAACAATACCCCCCATTATCACAGGTGTTTTGGGAAACTATAAGAATTGTTACGATTATCAATGCAATTTTTTAACTCCCGTATTATCAGTTCATGTGTTGTAACAATTTAACTCATGCAGTAAAGCTGTGCTGTATTCTCAAATTCTGTATAAGTCAAAGTAACTTACTATATGAGTCGATTGCAGTCATCAAACGTATTATTTAAGAAAAATCTTCAAGAGCAAATTGTATTGAATGGATAAGCAATTTAAGAAATATTCTCGACTTTCCTTTCCGCTAAACGATCCAGAAGTTGTTAGTTACGTAAATAATCACACGAAAATTAAACTGAAAAACTACCAAGCAATAGTACAAAAAACACGAAAGAAAGTAACAGTCAAATCAAAAGTCAGTCTCACTATTAAAGCAAAAATCAATACATTAAATACGCAACTGTAAATACAATAAAAACTCCACAATAATTGTAAACGAAAACTGTATTTTAAAACCGGCGTAAACAGAAGTAGCAACAAAACAATGACGTTAACCAACATATTTACCCAGTTAGCGCGGACAGTTTGCGTTTTGGCGGGACGAGGGGGAGGGACCACAAATTAACGAGGGATATGCAGTTAATAATGGCGATTGTGGGGAAAACTGTGGTGTTGTCTAACATAACATTGGTTATGGCAGAGCGGAGTGTGGACAAACCCTGATGTTATTGTACGAGTCCCCAGGTACTCCAAACCAAGGGTACGGGGGGAGGGTAGCCCCAGGCTAGTCCATGTTGCCACAACATTGCCGATCCTGCTACATGGCACATGCACAAACATACGCTAGCCCTTGGCGAAATTCGGTGTTCAGTTTTTCTCATAGGAGTTGTTTTTAAGATTTTTCAATTAATTATTTATTGTCAAGAGGATGTAAGGGTGTACTTTTGTCTCTGTCAGAATGTAGAATCAGAGGTAGAAGTCTCATACTGAATATTTTATTGTATAACCTTTTTTAAATACATGGATGCACCGTATAACACATTTTAAATGTTCGAAACAGTAAATCAAGGTAAAGTTTAACAACACTTGCTAAGTCTTGTAAATTTCGTGAGGCGTCTAACTGAGTACAAAAACGAGTTTAAGAAAACGTTTATACAATTAGGGTTAACAAATTATGTTTTATCAATTTCTCAAATGCATTCTTTCAACATCAAAATAATCTATAGATTTCAGTTCCTATTTAAACGTGCTTCGTAATGTTAATCGATTGTATACAAAATGTATAACCCTAAAACACTATTTCATTGTAAATAGGAATAATAATGGAAATAATTCATCATAGAGCAACAATTAGCAACGACTTCACGTTAATGGTAAAACATTTAGTTTAGGTACGTTTGGTATTCAGACCCCCTAAAAATTTAGAAACCACAAAACAGCAATCAAACATACAAGCAATGTAGCAATATCGACAAAGAATAAACAGATCCGAAACACTTTCTGATAAAATAATCAAACGAAATCGCGAGGATAACTTTTAACGAGGTAACTTGGGAAGGAGAAGGAGTCGAAACTCGAGCGATGCAAATAAGCAGTGGTAGGCTACAAAGCTACGTTTCATTAGCTTTAAGGGGCTTTGGAGTGGAGATCAAATATACAGTCTGTGGTTGGTTGTCATACGCCAAGGACAAATGAAACGATAATGTGATGAGCATTCGATGCGAT